TTTACATGCACAGCCATTTTTATCCAGGGAGTTACCTACACTTCCCATTAACTCGGTGTCTCCTGTGTTTTCTACAGCAGCAACTGCAGAAAGTTTTGTTCTCCAGCATTCCAAAATATGGACTCTTGTGGTAACATACAAAAATGAGTAATTTACTCAGAGGAGTCCAAGACTGATCTTTTTTGGGGCAAATCCTCAGCACTATCCTGACGTAATTTTTAAGAGTGCTAAAGCATCACACCAATGTCTGCTCATAATCCTTCAGGGTCAGATTTCCCAATAATTTCAAATAAATTTAATATTTAATAATTTCTAACATAATATTAAGAACCCAGAGCAACACAGGGCACCAGTGTGAGCCACAAGTATTTCATTCTTCTCACTACCAAGTTAGAATCTGCATAATAACATCTACAGCCACTGATTTCACTGACCTTTTCTTCCCACGACGAATTCCTTCCCATGTGCGCAACACTAAGCCATGGGATGGCTTTCTGAGCTGTAGGAGGAGAAACCCCCCCTGAGGATGCAGGGGTCCTACCTGCTCTGCTAGCCCAGCTGCTCCACCATCTCCCAAGACCCTGCTCCAGAGGACATCCACCCCTTCTCCTGGAGATGAACCCTGTGGAGATGATGCAGAGCTGGCGGCTCCGGCTCAAGGCTCGAGCTCTGCCCCCTCCCATGTGCTGTAATCACAGACCCCTGGCTCCTCTGATCTACAGCTGACTATAATTTCATTTGCCTTCAAGGAGGAAAGAAAGAAAGCACAGAAATAATCAGTTCAATTGCTGTTAAAGCACGAGGAAGCTGTGGACACAGACATTTGACTAAGCAAGAGTTTCATCTGTTTCATTTGAGTCAGGAAGCACAAACACAGAGTTCCAGGAAATAACTCTGCCTTTCAGAGCACTATCAGCTTCTTCAATTTGCCTTTGAAACTGCACAGGTACCTACACAAATTATAATTTTGTTGTCTGCAATCTGACTCGCAACAACACGATGAGTAACACGCCTTGAACTCTTCTTTCTCAGCGGAGGAGGCTGGAATTTTATCTTCCAATCTATGTCTGGCCTAGCAAAATAAATTATTTGGGGTTTTTCTGGACCAAACCAAGCTATAGTCACACATTATTTCGCTTTCAAGTAACCATCACTTTCATTTGAATTGCAAGTAGCTTGAATTCATCCTGACAGACCTAAACCCTGTCTGACCAGTGGTTTCCCTGAGTCATAAGTTTGGTGCAGGTCAGAATTTGGAAGCTTCCACATCAAGACACTGTGCAGAGAGACAAATGCAGTCCAAGAACTGAGTGGTGGAGACATCACTGGTTCAGCAAAGAGCAGGTGAGTTTAAGCCTGAGGTACACAAGAGTAAGAACATGCAGTGGGTGTAAACCAGACCTGAACTCTGCCAGAACTCAGAGCTGACTGAATGGCTCAGATTCATTTATTTCTAGGGAAGACAGGCAACCACTAAAATACTACAGGGGCTGGGACCTCAAATATAATTACAGCTCCATTGGCTGAAATTACAGCTGTGTCAGCCCTTTTACCAGCAGGAATACGTAATTCATCTGGTTCAACTGAGCACTCCTCAGACTGCACATAACGAGCTTAAGGCTGGAAATCCAGTCCTGCCCCAGCCTCACCTTCTGCCCCTCCAAAAGCCCAACTTGCTTCTGTTCTCACTGTTGCTCAGGCTGCTGGAGGCGTGGGGGTGTTTGATATCATCACAGAACAGTCTGGGCAAACCTCTGCTCTTTCAAACCTTGACAAACCGCCTGGTGCCCCTGGGAGGGAGCAGACGGGTGCACTGAACCCAAAGAGTTCAGAATTAGTGCTGCCACCTGTAAATGCCACCCAGCAGAGTAAGCCCAGGCTGGTTCCAGCAGTGGCTGGGAGGCTGTGCTGTGATTATTCACCCCCTGGCCACTCCAGGGCTCACCCAAACAGGGCTGTGCTCATCGCTTACCGCAGCACTCACAGCCTTCAAAGCTCCCCACAGCCAAATCAGGCAGCTCGTTAGAGCAGATCTCCAATCTGCTGCAGCTGGCAGAGAGGAGCCCTGGTGTCCCACGGTGTCCCCACTCCTGGGAGCCTGCCTGGCATCAGTGGCCAGCACAGGACGGCGCCTGGCACAGCCCAGCCTTTGGAGGAACAAGCTGATAAAGTCAGGATCTGCTGCCATAAGTGTCCTCCAGCAGCCTTCCCGTTTGTTCTGTAAGGCCAGGAGTGACATAATCCTCTCCTAATATCAGCTGAGGGCTCGGGGGGAACCAGGGTGACCCACAAACTGTACCCATGGCAACACTGGGCTCTAGCTGAACTCCCCAGGCTGGCATCTTCAAACCACTGACACTTCTTTGTATTATCTGATCTTTGCCTGATGTCATTTCTGCAGAGACACATAAAAACAGATTTAATAATATCCACGGCCTTCAGCTTCAGAGTCAACAATCACAGTCACAAACAGATCAGCTATTCTGCTTCAAGCTTATTATTTGTCACTAACATGTAATTATTACCAAACAAAACAAAAGACACAGGATATTGCTGCTGTTGCAACAGCAAGTAAGTTAAGCTCTTTTTCAAACTGAAAAAGCCCATCTCTTCTGATGCAAGAAGGCACAAAAGAAAAAAAAATTTAAAAACTTCAGAAGAGCCTGTGAATCCTGCAAAATGCATCTGGAAGGATAATCAGAAATGTCACTGCTTCTCGCAAAGAAAAACAAACAAAAACCCCTAAAGTAAACTGGACAGCCAGGTCTGTCCAGCCAACATCACCTTTGTCATAACTGTACTGTCAACCTGAACAATTTTTGAGTTATAATTTCTCTTTCTCAAATAAAGGAGGAGTTAATTAAGCTGCAACCGTATAGATACAATACTAGCAAAAAACACCAGATGGGACATCAGGCCCTGGCAAGGAGAAAAGAAGCTTTAGAGTTGTAAAACTCCAGTGCAGTCCTGTCCCTTCAGTTTACAAAATGAAGCCAGAGCAGCATCACATGCAGAGCAGGAGGAGGCCCCGAGCAAGGCTTGTTACTCCACACCGAAACTCTGAGCAGGACTAGGATGGCTATTGTATTATTCAAGAAGCCTTCCAGCTGGAATTGTAAACTGGGAAGAACGTGATTCACTGAACAGATGATTCCAGCTTTAAAAACAAATAAAATCGGTTTTTAAAACTCTAAAATCAATGGGTTAATCTGCTAAACCCATACAGGAATCAGGGGAAGGAAATAAGTGAGGGAACAACCAAGGAGAGATCAAGAACCACCTAAAGAAAAGAGAACTAAACCTCTACGTTCAGGTTCAGTATGTCCACAGAGCCTACAACACTCATACTACCAGGATACACTTAGAAGCAGCTTTTGGCAGCAGAACAGCATCTGCAGAACCCAAAACTTCACCGCCGTCAGCTTAAACTTATTAACAGCAGCCCCGCACCGCGCCGTGGCGAGCATTTCTTTAATTCCCGTCCCGCCAGCCCGGCTCTGCAGGAGAAGTTTGCTCATCCCGAAAGCGGGCCCGCTCCGCTGCGATGACTGAGCAGAGGCCTGCCTGCAGCCCGGCGCATCCCGGCCGGCCACACCCAGCGCCGAGAGCCGCGCTCTGCCCATGCTCATCCGCAGCCCGCGTCCCGCTGCGAGCCCGCCGCCCTCCTTATAAAGCCGGGAACGAGGGACCCGGCGGCGGCCAGCGGGGAAGGACGGGGGCGAACGCGGCACGCAAAGTTTCCAGCCGTCCCGAGGAGGAGAACTGCGTCGCCCTTGAGCGAAACCCGCGGCTCGGTGTGCCCGGGACAGCCGGGCCCGAAGGGACCCTGCGGGGGCAAGGCCGGGGAACGCCCGGGGCCCCCCGGACCCAGCCCGGCCCCTGCCCCCGAGCAACAAAGCCGCGCCCCGGCAGCGCCCGCTCCTTCCGCCGGCTCCCCCGGGAGATGCTCGGGGATGCTGCGGGCGCTCCCTGCGCGGCTCCCAAGCCCCGCAGCCCCGGACACCTCCCGGCCCGGCCCGGCCGGCCCCGACCCCCGGACACCGGCAAGGCCGGAGCCCCCGCTCGGCCCGGGCCGCCCCTCCGCCGCGTTGGAGGGC